GCTTTCATCAAAAGTGTACATCTGCCTTTCTTTTTTTTTCTGATTTTCCTTCCTTTGTGGTAGTTTTTGTTGCGACAATAATCTTCTCCTCATTTTTTGCCTTCGTTGTTTATCACATTTCAACAGTTTATTTGAGAGTTCCTGTGTTGTCTTAGTTGAACAGGAGGCAATGTTTGTATCATTTTGAGGAGCATAATCTGATTTTACCTGAGAGTCTCTCACAGAAGATGCAGATGTTTCATTTTCAAAATAATCAGGATGCTGGTTAACCTCAGCAGTAGCTGTCTCATTTGAATAATCCACTCTGGATGACATCACTTCTGTGGTTAAAGTGTTGATCCCAGTTTTCTGTGTCTTCTCAGTGGATGTTTGGGAGTTTAATTCAAGAACAGGTTGATTTAAAACTGGTGCTGGATCACTTGTAGCAGGTTGTCTGTATTCAGTGGTTTGATTAGCATCTCTTTGGTCAGCAGCGTTTTCACTGTGAAACTCGATGGGCTGTAGCTCATAAGTGCAGGTTGGTGCGATGCTAAACATTCGGTACAAACATTTGAACCTGTCAATCATGTCATTAAGACATGTGAATTTCAACATAACTGCAGTTCCACCACTTACACTTAGCGACAATGGCATACCAGTAGACTTACGTGGGTGAGGGTCAAAATATGCATATTCAACTGAAGTCAGCTTGCAAACAGCGATGACTGTTCCTCCCATGACTAGCAAAGCGTAGCGAATGTCTGAAGCCAAACACTGTAGTCCTTGTTCAAGGCTCGGAAGGTGATCTGTACCATCAAATGTGCCGTAACGAGCAAACTGAGATATGTCCACTTGATACTCGTGTCTGCGGCTGGTGACCACTGTGGGAAGCTCATTGCAGGCTAGAAACACGCTATTGACAAACCTCTGTCTGGCATTTGAATACACGACATGGCCTTTGTCCAACACACAGTTAAGATCTGCTCTGGTAATGAATTCATCCTCATGTAAGAATGACAGGAAAACCAAACTATTAGCCATGCATTGCTTATTCCTGTACTTTCCATACCTAGCAGCGGCCTGGCTTCTGGATGCACAGATGTTACTCACTTGTGGACGACTTTCATTGTTTGTAACTTGTACGTGAGACAGTCCCGGAGCTTCTCCATCATGCTGCATTTGCACAGTTACCTGGGGTTCAGTCTGCATTACCTTTTGTACTTTAGCCTTTGGCACAGACAGGGAGCAAACACCTCTCTTTACCATGTCTGCATAAGACACTGCAGCTGTCTGAACACTGCTTTGCACTTCCAGACTGGGAACATCTGTAACAGACACCTTTACCTGCTCATCGCTCTGAGAAACATTTACCTGTGCTTTCTGCTTTTGCCATCTAAGCTTTTGGGACTCCGACCTTTGACCTTTTCTTGGCATTTTATTGAAGTAGAAACTGAAGCTTATATGTATTTATGCACAGATATAAACAAAACCCAACCGGGAAACACTGAAAAACTAATAACTCTTTAACTTACTTTTTAAATCTGAGAAATGTAAGATTATACAAATGTTCAAATGTTTTATAAATGTGTAAATAGATGTAAAAGGTTGACTTTAATTGAAACTCAATTTAAAAGATAAACGTTTTCTGAAACACTTGGGTCAGTTTTATTGTAGCTTTTTCAAAAACAAAATATTTTTACTTCTTATATTTTTAACCAGACTCGTTAATGCTTAGATCTTAGCTTTTTTTTAAAGGGATATGCAGAATAAATCACAATAGTCAAGAGGCTATAATAAAACTCTTAGCTTTTAAGTAGAGTGTGTGTAAATCTTTCAGATATCTAAAATTTAAAGCAAATACTAGAAGCTGTGGTGGTGTGGTGAACAGATGACAGGCAATGAGGATTCTTCAGCTGGATGTTCTGCAGCAGTCAGGAAACAGGAAGTCTGGGTCCTCAGGGCAGCTTCTCGGTGACAATTGTGTCTGAACACTTACACTGAGTAACAGAAATGGGTTTGTCCCTAAATAATAATAGTATAAACCTACTATAGTCAAATGTTACAGTCAATGAAACAGACTAGCAAAATGTATCTGAAGTTATCTTATTTAATATTTTTGTGAATACAGCAGTCTGAATGTGTCGTATAAAATAACAAGTTTATATTATTACAAAAAACCTTTAAGAAGGTGTAAATTTTATATAATGTATCAAAGTAATTTCACCTCTAAGCCAAACTATTATCTACAGCTGTGTAAATAGTTTCTACTGTACTGTAATTCTACTATTGTAATTTCAACTTTCTACTTATAATTTCCAGCAAAAAGACTGGATGTGAGAGAGTTTAATGACAGGAAAGAATGAGCAGTGAGAGCAGAGATCTCTCAGAATTCTGTAACAGATAGATGAAGTACTGATAACTTCAATTCCCAAAAACTGGGACCAGTCAAAACTTGATTCCAGTCAAAACTTGATTCCAGTCAAAACTTGATTCCAGTCAAAACTTGATTCCAGTAAAAAACTTGATTTTTGGTAAATTAGATAGAGCTCTTGGGATAGAGTGAGAAAAGATAGAATGGCTTGTCAAA